AGAGAAAGGGACTTAAATTAGGCCTCTGGCACTACACTCATCAGACGAAACACGGAATTGCTTCCATTTCACGCCTGTCTTCTGTGTGGTCGTGGTATTACACCGGGTGAGCCGGCCCTGCAGTGCTAGGATGTTAACTACACTACTACGGGCACTACCACTGTTAAAATTATAGACAAGGCAGTATGTAATAAAACATTTTACAAAATTATAATAAGCTACATAATTTGTTATAAAACAAACTAAACACCTGTTTATAAGTAAAATTTAAATACTGATTAATAATTATCAATAGGTATTGATAAATAATTTAAATATCTATATCTATACTAATGAAATAAAGCGTAAACACACTACTTTGTGGCATAGAATGTCAGCAATGACAGCATATTTTTCACTCACTCACTCAGTCACTCACCATCTTCTATACTAATATTATAAAGAAGAAAACTTTGTTTGTTTGATTGATTGTAATGAATAGGTTTAAAAACTAATCGGCGAATTTTTAAAATTTTTTCACTGTTAGAAAGGTAATTTATCTGTGAGTAACATAGACTATATTTTTGACCGACTTCCCAAAAGGAGGTTATTGAATTCGTTTGATGTTTTATTTTTCATTTCTTTTTTATTATTTTTAAATTTCACGCGGTCGAAGTCGCGGGCAAAAGCTAGTTGATTATAAAAATGTACATACCTTAAACAGCTGTGATTCAAGTTCCGCTTGATGTATGACTTTCTGTCCGGTCGCGGGCTCTGATTCCCTGTCCACATCTCTGTCAGTACCATTTGCTATCGGCGCTGCGTCGCCGCTGCGCTTCTCGAACAACTCCGTCATTTGTGATGATGAAGGTACTGGAATTAGAGTTAATATTTTATAGGACTAATATAAAAAAAATAACCGATAGTCTGTGTAAAGTTGGAGAATTGGTCACCCTAATAGTTTGAAATTGTAACCTTAGGATGAATGAACTGTATTTTTATTTTAAATAAAGAAAAGCCTGCAAAGTTAAAAGATTATTTTTAAAATAGTTTTAATTCAAACAATGTAATATCAGCCATGTATTGTCTAAAATTTTAAATATGGAAGTTTAAAGTCTGGAAGAACACATAGGCTAAGCTTATTTTTAAATTTCGCAGGAGGAAATCGCAAACAGCTTGTATTACATAATTTTACTACACTTTCTACTAAAATTTTCACAAAATAAAATAAATAATGCATTAACCAACAAATATCGAATTTGCCATTCCTCAGTTCAAACAATTTTTATTCAATGAGAATTTAATAAAAATAATAAAATATATACTTTTAAATCAATACTCACTTTTGCTGGGACTTATAGCACCAAACACATCAACACATATTTTTGCCAATCTTAAATTCTCTATAAGATATGGAAGAGCTGATTCCTTTAGATTACCAATTATTTGCCTCGTTATTAATAATACAGCTAATTGCTAAAAATACAACATTTAATTAATAATTATAATACAAACACAAAAACACACACTAGATAAATAAAAATAATTTTTAACAATAGATAAATTAAATAAAAAAATGTAATTTAGTATTATGGACATTTCTTTAGATCATAAATATATATCTATACAAATATTATAAAGAGGAAAGAATTATATTTTTGTATGTATTGAAAAAACTCTTACACCATTAAAAAGCTATTAACAATCAGTATCATAAGGCTATACTTTTCATGATTTTTTTTTAATTTCATGGGAACAAAGTCGGAAGTAACAGTTAATAATACATTGCTTGCTTACCTCTTTCAATTTATCCATATCCTGAAGATAAAACGCAATGTAGAACAAACTCATGAACGAGTTTACAAATTGAAACTGAAAATCAACAATTACTAAATAAAAAATCAAATTAAAAAGTTAAACTTAACACCAAAAGCATTAAAGTGAAGCCACTTATAACCATGGCGATGTGCTACATGTCAAAAATATATTTCAACGAGGAAAATAGGTCGAATACTGAAAGATTTAATTATATAACGTTTAAAATTCTATTTATTATATGACGTCTATCAGATTGTAAACGCTTACTCTCTGTCCAAAGCTCGTTTCAGTACTCGGCCATTAGTCTAATTATATTTTTGTTAAAACTTTATTTTTAAAGCTTGTTAAAATTAGTTATAAATTTAGTAACAATTATTACCATTATTGAGTATTAGTTAATTAACAATTAGTTTGCGAAAAACAATAGTAGTGTTAAATTCACGTTATCCGTTCTAAAGTTAATTCCCTTGATGACTTTAAAACTTAACTTCTAGAGAAATAAATGTCCGGTTCAATCTTATTATTTGAATTTTACTTATATAAAAATGATACAAATACCGCCATATGTATAAATGAATATACACCAAACTACATTCTAACAATTTAATATTAATATGAAAATGTTTGTATTTGTGATAAAGTGATGATTGTGTACGTAAGAACTAATATGCAACTAATCGATATGTAGTAAACAACACTAGAGGCCAGCGAAGGTGTATAGAAGAGTATAGCGTATATATAATCATTCGCACTTATCGATCTTATTGGAAGACGTAGTGATGTGACTTGAAAATGTCGATAATTGAGTGTTTCAAATGTGATGTTTATCGTATCCTTAATGTAATTTTAAATATTAACTAATACAGGTTACATCACGATAATACTGCTATTGATAATATTTTTGAGGTTTTTATATGATTTGATTCAAGTTACATGCATTATCCATGCAAGTGCGTAAAATGCTGTGATAATTTGCATTAATTAAACTATGAATGTTATATAATGTAAAGCGAAGCGCTGTTATTTTATACAGCTATATAAATACAAACCAATGCAATTTTGACAATCAGATGATTTTCATATTTTGTTTCTAGTCGATAATTTTCTTTATTTTAGTGATATAAATGTAGTTTTATCGATGTTCCAGATCGTTGTATCGAACGTTGTTTTGTCCGTTTCCATTTGGTAAGCATTAAAGAGAAATAGCATTCTATAATACATATAACTACATTTTTTACTGTAACTAAATCTAGATTAAGAATCTATTTGTGCTGGAATTGTTTTAAGAGTTTAGGATCAAACCATGCAATAGAGAATTAGGTTTTGGTTAAAAACTCATAATTATATGTAATTTTATTACACTATTATATGTAAAACTATACATAAACTACTAGAAATCGTTTTATTACATTTTAAATAATTTTTAAATACTTTTCATTATTTACTACTGTATATTTTTAATACATAATAATTCATAATTAAATACACGCCTCCAAAAACATGAATCTTGCATATAATGGCTCACTCATTTTTCATCTTCATGTATGTAAACTATACGTCGCAGTGACGTCATAGAGTTCATGTCATGTTTTTGTGCACGATGTCTTTAGACTTGATAAATTATAAAATATCGATATTCACGTTTTAGTCTAGTTAATAAAATATCCTAAAGTGTAGAAATATATAGATTTAACTAATATAATTGAAATAAGGTTTTATCGTTAAAATTATACTAAAACTAATAGAATTTACAAAATTAAAACTGACATCTAGCGTGAAGTTTCAACTATTTTTACAGAATTCAAATCCTAGCATTGAAATTGGAAACTATTTGTCTTAGGGTCTGTCCCACCACTGGCTGATAGAGGCTCAGATAGCTTAAAAATGACGTCACTGTCAGACAAAATCCGATATTTCCATCACATATTTTACTCGTTGATTATCACACAACTTATAAATTCGGTAGGACTGACACTTAGAATTATAAATACAAGTCTGTTACCAAATGTAATACATAAAATTGTAATATTTTTATCATAAATGTACCTTTATCGTTGAGCCACCTGGCGATCCTGGCGTACACCTCCTCCTCCACCGCGATGATGATGGCCAGCAGCGCGCGCGGGATCCAACTGAAGTACACCAACGTATTCTCCCACCAATCCTGGA